GTGAAACATTTGATCCCAAAGAAATTTAATAACGAATCTAATATTTTATAAAATTACTGTAACTATTGGAATTTCGATGAATGAAACTCAAATTATTTATATATTTTGACGTGGCCCACCCATTTTTTGAACCACCCATCCTGATTGACCCACCAATATTATTTTGGCCCACTTATATTTTTTTACCACCCATATTTTTTTGACCCACCTATATTTTTTGACCCACCTATATTTTTTGACCCACCTATATTTTTTGACCCACCTATATTTTTTGACCCACCCATATTTTTTGACCACCTATATTTTTTGACTCAGCTATATTTTTTTATTCACCTATATTTTTTGACCCACTTATATTTTTGACCCACCTATCTTTTCTAACTCACCTATATTTCTTACCACCTATATTTTTTGACCCACCTATATTTTTGACTCACCTAAATTTTTTACCCACCTAGGTATATATTTTGACCAACGTAGATTTTTTGACCCACCTATATTTTTAACCCACCTATATTTTTGAGTCACTAATATTAATATTTTCGACCCGCCTATACTTTTTAACCCACCCATATTTTTGACCAACCTTTATTTTTAACCCACCTATATTTTATGACCCACCTATATTTCTTGACCACCTATATTTTCTACCCACCTATATTTTCTACCCACCTATCCTGAAGCGCGAGCTGCTGCCAGCAACGCTGTCCCGGAGCTGCATGAGCGGTTCACGGCCCCTGAACGAGCGAACCAAGAACCTGGCACACGACGTCAGCGAACCGAGCTGACGGCCCCTAGTCAGCTCCCCCAGGTACTGAGCTGACGACGAGGCCGTGTTCATGTCCAGCACCGTCAGCGCTGACATGCCTGACGTGCGAGACAGCGGTCACTCAGGAAAATATGGGAGACTTTGTTCAAATATAGCACCGTCAGCGCTGACATGCCTGACGTGCGAGACAGCGATCACTCAGGAAAATGTGTGAAATTTTGTTCAAATATCGCTGAATCTTTTGATTTATATTGGTCATCCAGACCATATTTCACTCAGCGTAGCAATGCTACGTGCTGAAAGTGTGTCACAGTTCGGGCAATCTGACCCATTTCTTTCTTTGAGTGTGACGTGGGATAAGGCGATCCTTAAGAGAAATGGGTGATAATTTGTCCAAAAAGAGATGCACTTTTTACCCCTATATCTTCGTCCACATGACTCACCTGCGACACACATGAGAACATTTAGCAAACAGCGCACCAGACGACGGGGAGGAAACTTCATCTTTTTTCTTATTTGCTTTGCCGAAAAAAATGAAATAAAATCAAAGAAATGTATTTTGCTTAGTATTTCAATGGATAATATTCTCAAATTTCGTCTCGCATAACAGAGACTGAAAAGACTAAAAATCTTAATTCTGCACGCAGCTGCAGACCCGAAGTTATACAATAAAAAATATTAGTGACGTGTTAGGATATAAATTTAAAATTTGATTATTTTTTGTAAATTTTAAACAAATACGTATATCTAAACAATTTTCTAGAGAAATGGAGTAACCCAAATGTTCGTTGTAATACCCGTGGACTTTTTGACATCTAGAAAATGTCAGGAACTTTAAACTTCATTCGTTTTCAATTCGACGCTCGAAAAATGGTTGATGTTTAATAATCTTTCATCTATATTTTCTTCATCTAGCAAGAAATGAATAAATCAAGTACGAAAACAGATACGAATGAATAAACCTCATGAATTCTAAATTGAAATATATTGATATTTTTTAACACTGGAAAATAATAATTATTATTAAATCATTGAAAGGATTCAACTTGAACGGCTATTTTAGTTCAATATCCCAAATAAGAGACTGCCACAACCTTTCCCTATGAAAGCTGACGCAACACTGGGCACATCATCGCTTCTACATGAAGCTTCGTGACCGACATGACTGTGCATGGGAGAAAAATGAGTGGAACATTGTCTAATTTGCGATGCACTTTTTTGTTCTCGAGTGATTCACCGTACCCAGTTTGAGAGTATTTGTGATACTTTCTCTCTTTGCTCGTGTTGTACGTGAGAAAGTGTGGGTATTGTCACAATTCGGAGATTGTGATCTATTCAATTTATTAATGCATGATGCACAAATTCTATTACTTTTTCATATCAAAGGCATTCACATATGTCATAAGATCATATTCAATAATATGTGAAAAGAGGATGCAATATATTAATAATCTATGGTAGTTTTAGGAAAATTTTATTGCTGATAAAGAAGTCACTTCTAGTCAAGACGCGCTTAAGTCCTTTTCATGAATAATTGAATGAATCTTGAGTAATTCAGCCGAATAATTGAATGACTCTTGAATAATTCAGCCGAATAATTGAATGATTCTTGAGCGGCAATAATTGTGTAAATCTCATGCGTGCAACGTTATGATTAAATGATTATTGGATGCTGATTATTGCGCAAGATTTCATTATGCCGACACTATAGCTGCCAGGCGTCACTGTCATGGTGATCACGCTCGGTTAAAGCCCCTGAATTAGGACCGTTTGAAAAATACATCAATAATAAATAAGGAAAATCCATCGATAATAAATCAGGATAAAGAAAGCCGTTAGCTACGTTCGGGTCACGGCTCAGCAAACTGACATGCAAACTGTTAGAAAAATTACCGTTAACGGTATTACCGGCGTTTCAGTGGCCGGTCGGCACGTGAAAAGAAACACCGAGTTGCCGTTTTTATTCTAATTTAACACTAAAAGTCCGTAAAACATCTGATAAAAACGGCGAAACAGTTTATTTTCACGTTTCGACCGGCCACTAGAACGCCGGTGGGACCGTTTTTTCACCGTTTTTTCTAACAGTGCATGCATTTGTGTCCTAAAATGTGTCTCATTATAAGTTCGTATACTTGCTTGGAATTCATAAATATAAGTAATGTTAGTTAGCGTCATTTATATTTCCTTTTTTCGGTAGTAAATATTGGTTTACGCAATTAAAAGCTAATTATAGGAGTTAAACATTAGTTTTGAATAGGTTCACATTTTTGAGTCAGTTGATTCTTCGAATCGATCTCGAGCCAGGCAAAACTAAAGGATGACCCATAAAAACTACAAAAGTGTATCGCTGTTTCGACAGTCTCACTAATTTGTCCGAGTGTACGTTGATACTGGCCTCACAGAAATGTAGTAAATTTGTGACCGCCACTTGTAAATTGTATTTGCTTCAACAGGAATATAAATAAGTAATAAATGCTCTATAAATAGTAGTATATGCTCAATAAATAACTAATAAATGGTCTATAGCGACGAGTTTAAGTTGCATGGTAGCACAGTTGTTACAGTTCAAAGTACCTAGATCGGAGCAGTAACTATAGGTTCGATCCCAGCTACCTGTTCATGACTGTTCTGGTTAAATCGGCGAGGAGGCCGGGCAGTTGAACACAGCAAAATTAAAGGAGTGAGTTGCGTGTTCGACACAATCTGTGAATATTCTGCGATGTTCTAAATCGGCGACAGGTTTGCCGGCGTAATTAACACTGAAACAGCTATTATTATTATTATTATTATTATTATTATTATTATTATTATTATTATTATTATTATTATTAGTATAGGATTGCCGCTTGTTCGGGATTATAGTGCAAGAAAAAAGGCACATTTGAATTTCACTTTATACTCACTTTCATGCTTTGAGAAAATAATTTATAATATATTTTCCTGGATTTAATTAGCCCTACGTGAGTTAATGCCGATTTAATATATCGACCAAACAATTACTAATATTCATCATAAGGTATAACGAATGCCATTTATTTGTGATTATAAAAAGTAAACGAGAAAGACCTACATCCGCTTCAATAAGCTGTAACATCTGCATTCATTCATGTTTAATTAAATGAATTAAATCATCACTATCAAACATAGATGGGTCAATTATCCTAATAGTGACACACTTTCTACCCATTGATGCAATCGACTATTAAAATCTCCACTCGCCAACTGAGTAACGTCCATTTAAGGTCAAAATAAATAACTACATTTAAGCTAAATAATGATGATAAATAAATAAATAAATGATAAATAATATCAAAATCATCGGAAACGGAGCATTCGCTCAGAAAAAATAGATGGGTTATATTGTTCAAATAGTGACGCACTTCACCCACGTAGCGCCTTGCTACCTTTTTTCCGTGCCAAAATGGGTCATGGTTACCTACACAAGCGCAAAAAACGCAACGCTCTTTGAAAAATGCCCCACTAATTTTTCTTAAATCTATAACGGCGCACCATAAACCTAAAAATCTAACAAAATGATGATAACGGACCATATTTACTATGTACAGTTAGTGACTTTGATCAGATTAAATTAGAGTAATTATCTAATGGTGATTACTCAATAATCATTACCACATAATGATTAATTATTTATACTTGATCCTCCAAACTTATATACGTACAGGCTGCAGGTAATGCAATGGTACTCTTTTATTAGGGAATATTATTATTCATTTAAAATATTGATACGGACAATTATCTCATAAAGTGTTTTCATAAAGCGTTTTCTCATGCGATTTTTTGTTTTAGGAAAATTTTAATTTAATTCTCTAGGAATTTTTAATTCTATAGAATATTATGGTAATAATTTTTTTCATTTAAAAATATTTCTTTCAATGACACATCATTACATCAAACGGCTCAGAATATACCAATTAAGAATTAAAGACCAAATTATATTAGTCAATTATTTTATTTTATTATTTTTTTATACAATTATTTAAATTTTATTAGTCAATCCTATAAAGATTTACTGTGTAAATTCCCCTACTAGTAAACCTTCTACGGTGAATACTAACGAGAATTTTAAACCTTTCAACATCTTCAGAAACTCACAGCTCCAGCGTTCAAGTTTATTTACTAACTAGAAAAGTTGGCAAGCTGAAAAAGGCAATTAAAATTAAATAGTGATGAAACAACGGCGGTAAATAATTTGTTTTTCTGTTCAGTAATTTTATTTAAGAAAATAGCAGCTAAGGAGTAAGCGGAAAATACAAAATAAACTTTGTGGTTAGTGCGTAAAAAGTTTTTATCGTCGTCCATTTGAATGCCTACAAAATTGAACATTGCTTGAATGTAGTACAATTTTCAGCTGATATATATAATAAAACATTATTATTCACAACGCAGGTAACAAAAGCCATAAAAACACCTGTTATTTAAATAATGCATTAATCTTAATCAGCACATATTACGCATTGTTATCTAGTAGAATTAAGTTTATACTAATATTACTAGTGTTAATTCCAAGCATCATCCTTAACTGCAGCGGCAAGCATGTTTTGTCACCGCCTGAAACAACACTCAGAAAAATTAATGTGACATAATGTCCAAAAACTGACACTTTCTTACCCACAGCACGAACAGAGAACGGAAGTAGCTCTGATACGCTCATTTGCTGGGATAAACTAGGTCAGGATGACCCACATCATCGCAAAAATTGAGTCAGTACTTGAACGAAGTCTCACTGATTTCTCCGCTGCAAGGCAGCATTTTTAAAATTAGTAACAAAAATAAGAACTTTTTACTATTTAGGCAGACAATCATCCTTCATTTTGCAAGCCAGTATATTAACAAATTTATCAGTTGGCTTACAAATATAATATAAAAAATCTGTTTAAATTAATAATTTTTACTTCTCGGTGTCAGTTTCGGTTATTTTTGTCGCGGTGCCGAGAGGTTTAGTCACAGCCGCGTCGTCGTCAGTGTTTGCATCCTTGATGGTTTCTTCAGCAGAATGCGGCACAACGCCTGTAAGAAAATTTTTTTATACTTATGCTCAAGTAAAATGCATCCAAGGCTGGATAAAATACCATTTCAAAAAAAATGTTTGATGACTTATTTGCCAGGTAGATCGAAAGAAAGGAAGTATAAAAATTTAAGCATGGAGTGGAATGACCATACGTTGACTGAATGAACGTAGAGAATTCATTGGATGTTAAAAGAAAGAAATTTGAAAAATAGTCTACGTAAACAGTATTCCAAGTTGCTATACACGACTTTCATAAGTAATCCTGAAACTTAATTTAATTTGAACCCTACAGAGTAACGACAAATATAATCAAGATTAAATTTGAGCTAAAAAATTTAAGATTAATCAAAGTGACGGAAAAATCCAAAGCATACAAAAAAAATTTAATTTAATTCGGGCATGAGGTGTGGCTGATCGTTATTGAATTGCTAAACTCTGAACAATACAGCACATAATTTTTTAAATGAAAAATCAGTTAGTTAGCCTCACCTGAAGTCAAGTCAGCATGCAGGGGTGAAGAGTTGTCTGAATCTCGCTGGAATCTCGTATGTTGGGGCGCGGGGAAGTTGTCGCTCTGGGCCAACCCGGGTCTGCTAGCCGAAAAGGTAGAGGTAGATGAAGAGGTTGAGGTAGAACTATCGCCTCGGAAATCCGATTGAGGTCCAAAATGGTTATCATCACGAGTAGAATTTCCACCTAAGAAGTGGTCTGTGGTGTCGAGGCTAGCGTTGGGCGAGTTTGGAGCAAAAGGTGCAGGCCGTCGGTAGATGATATCTTTTGGATGTTCTGAAGTGAATGCTGGACGAAGGGTACTTGTAGAAAAGCCCACAGGGGTTGGAGAATCAAAAGCGTTTCCAGGATTAGGTCCTGAGACATCAGAGTCTTGGTTTCTGGCATGGGGCGAACCACTGGGAGAGGCAGAGGAAAACACATCCAGAGTTCCAGAACCATGATGAGAAGTCCCAACAGAATCAGAAGTCTGTCCTGCATCAGAAGCTAAGGCGTGGGAGGCATTGCCGCTGGAAGAAGAGCCTGGAATAGGACGAAAATTGTGAGCCTGGATTCATGAAACAAAACACAACAGCTAAAGCTGTGACATAAGTTAGAAAGCTTCGAAAATAATACAACTTTGAGATAAACCGCAAATGAACTTTTAAAGCAATGCATTTAAACTGAAAATAAAGAAAATATCGTATTTTTTGAAGGCTTTTAGATTTAAAAAATTATTGGTCGAACTAAACCCATTGGTCGGTACCCGTATAACTTACATAATTTATCAATCATTATCTATATCTTCAGTCCACACCTGAGGTCACATGAGGAGCGAGATGAGGAACATCGTCGGCATCTCTCTGGAATCTCGAGTGTTGCGCCGAATCGTCGCTGCTGTCAACCCCAAAATGGATCGGCGCCGAGGATGAGGTAGCATTGTCGCCCCGAAGGGTTGAGTTGAATCGAAGATGACTTCCGGCAAGAGTAGAGTTTCTATCGGAAAAGCTCACTGAGTGTACCACTGAAACTTTTGTGGTATTTTCACCGTCAATAGAAGTGGAAGGAGTGAATGCTGTTGGTTGTCCGTAGATGGAACCAGTTGGAGTAACAGATGCGGGGTGGTGGCTACCGACACCAAACACTAGAGGAGCGTCATCGCTTTCTCCAGGGTTTGGGCCTGAGATACGGGATTTATCTTCATTGTCGTGGAAATTTACTCGGAAATTTGGATTTGCAGATGAAAAAGTGGAGTTGGGATCGTGTCCTCGACTGCTGGAAGCAAATGCTGGCCCGCCAGATTGGGAACCTGTAACCGTCGGGGAAGCAGAGAAGCTATGATTGCTGGCAAAAACGCTTGAATTTGAAGCGAAGTGAACTGAAGGGGTTGCAAAAATGCTTGAATTCGAAGCGGAGTTACGTGAAGGGATTGCAAAAACGCTTGAATTCGAAGTGAAGTTGCGTGAAGGGGTTACAAAACCACTTGAATTTGAAGCAATGCCACTAAAGTTCGAGGTGCTTGAAAAGTTTGAGTTGAACCTCGAAGGAACAAATCCTGATTGTCGGTTATCATTGTAATGACCCAAGTTGAATGTGCCCGAAAAGTCATCTTCTGAAGTGGAACGAGTTTTCAAGATTTTACTTCCATTTCCAACTGTGTCATTTGAGCCGCTACTTTTATTGGCAATGGGATGTGTTTCGGTGGTGGATAGAGGGGAGCTTTCCAAGCTAGAATCAGTAACTCCTGAGCGATGGAATGAACCATCTGTCTTGTTTTTCGATCCCTCAGTTGCCGGGATGATATCGGTAGAACTGGTGGTAACGTCATCAGGCTTTACAGTGTGAATTTCTGTCGTGTGTCCATCAGAACTTGCTAGGGCAAAGTGTCCGTCATTTTCTTCGTCACTTTCTTTACTCTCTTCACTTTCTTCACTTTCATCATCTTCGTTGTTTGATCTCTTAGCTTTGGTCGAGCCATCTTTTTCCGTAATTTTATCAACTGTTGCTTGTGTAGTTGAGTTGCTGGTGTTGCCACTGCTATTCAGGAATGCTTGGAACACAGGTGGAAAATTAAATTCCAATACAGTTATCTCCTCTTCCACTGAACCATCATCCTTCTCGGTTGCGTTCGAGAAGCCTATTTCAAAAACTTGAAAATGAGAGGTTCCATAATTTGGAACGTCTGTGGTGTTTTTTTCTTCGACGGCAGGGTATCCTCTTGCCAAAGAAGCGACGCACAACAAGAAGGTGAAACTGAGTATCTGAAAAATAATTTGAGTAATTAATAACCTAGGAAACGAAGTAGGTGTTCTGTACAACAAGAAACTGAACACACTCGCTTTTATCAAGAACATTACAACAATTAAAACTAAAATTTTGATAGAGAAAGGACTGAGTTAACCGAATCACAGACATAATCACTCACAGTTTTCCTGTCACCTACTCACCATTTTCATGTTGGTCACAGGAACACGTAGAGTGCAGGTGAAGAAACACGTTTTATTGTCGAGCTCTGCGGTGCTTCTGCTTGGAGACGTCGGAGTGCGCAGGTTTTAAAGTCGAGCTCTGCGGTGCTTCTGCTCGGAGTGCGCAGGTTTTCTAGTCGAGCTCTGCGGTGCTTCTGCTCGGAGATGGATTCGGGAAAAAATGATGTTGATCTGATTCCAGTACCTAAAATATTGCACAATGGCGAATTTTTATTTTGATTTGAATTTAAATAAAAGTATAATTACGTTTTTTTAACTACATGGGGCTTAAGGATTAGTTTTTTAGGTAATGCTAAGATGGTTCTGTTCTTGCGTTTAACCGGTTGGAGCATTAGTGGGAAATATCGATTATCCTGCTCATTATTATTGAAATTGATTTGTTCTATCAGATATAATTATTCAGAACGGGATGTTAGTATACAGTTAATCGGAAAGAGATGTTAGCATACAATTATTTAGTAAAGGATGTTTGATCTCACTCAAGTATCCAAATTCCAATAGTAATTCACGCAATAAAATTCAGACCGCTTTAAAGAACACGTGCAAAAGTGAAATAAAATATTCATATAAGGTGAATACTTAAAAGTTCTCTCCTCAAAAAAAGGAGATTTAATAATGTATGATCGGTCTCTGTTATTCACAGCACTCTTCGGCTAAGGGTCAGCGAGGACAAGCGAAGGTTGTTCCTTATAAAATAATGATTTGTTTCATTGTTGAGCGCCGCATTGACGGAACAAAAAAATCTGTACTCTATTGACACCCTCAGGATAATAATGATTAAAGATCTTTCGTTATCAGTATGGAGGACTGCGTTCATAAGGCCTTGAGGTGGTTTATTAGTTCAACTCTTCAGCCTTTAATGTTGATACACTGACGTCCTTGCCTTCCTAGAAGTGATATACTAACGTCCCTGCCTTCCTAGAAGTGATACACTGACGTCCTTGCCTTCCTAGAAGTGATACACTGACGTCCTTGCCTTCCTAGAAGTGATACACTGACGTCCTTGCCTTCCTAGAAGTGATATACTGACGTCCCTGCCTTCCTAGAAGTGATATACTGACGTCCTTGCCTTCCTAGAAGTGATAATGATATACTGACGTCTCTGCCTTCCTAGAAGTGATATACTGACGTCCCTGCCTTCCTAGAAGTGTTATACTGACATCCCTGCCTTCCTAGAAGTGTTATACTGACGTCCCTGTCTTCCTAGAAGTGATATACTGACGTCCCTGCCTTCGTAGAAGTGGTATACTGACGTCCCTGCCTTCCTAGAAGTGGTATATTGACGTCCCTGCCTTCCTAGAAGTGATATACTGACGTCTCTGTCTTCCTAAAAGTGATATACTGACGTCCCTGCCTTCCTAGAAGTGATATACTGATGTCCCTGCCTTCCTAGAAGTGATATACTGATGTCCCTGCCTTCCTAGAAGTGATATACTGGTGTCCCTGCTTTCCCAGAAGAGACATACTGACGTCCCTGCCTTCCTAGAAGAGACATACTGACGCATCTAGAATAAAGTCTCAGTCTGTCTTAGATCAAGTTTATCGACGTCCTTGCCGTTCTAGAATCGAGTTTAGAAATTCTTCTCGACTTTTAATCATTTAATAATTTAATTCTTGACTTTTAATCGTAACTAGAAGGCGTGCCGCCCGTACGTCTGCAAATTTTCCAGAAGCCAGAAATTTAATTTTTTTCTAGAAATTTATCTTTCTTTTGAGAACTCAATGACGGAGAAGCAATGTCTGCAGCCTCTTAAATTGCTTCAGTAAATTGTTCCTAATTCATTGATATTAATTGAAATAGAAAATAAGTATGATAACGATAAAATTTTTTGTAATTCATGATTTATTTATTTTTAATTTTTATCCTATCAAAATATTTTTTTAATAGTTCACTTTATAATAATATCGTAATCTATGCAAATATTTCAAATAAATAAATTTTTAAACTGAAAATTTAAATAGGTAAATAACAATAATCTATATTTGCTTTTTCGGCAATTTTATTAACCTTTCATTAAATTGAACCTGAATTTCCTTTCATAAAAATATTGAGAATATCATAACATAAAATTTAAGAACGACGTGAATTGATTTTTCTCAATTCGATTAGAATCTTAATAATAATATAAAGAAATATATTTATCACAATTTTTAAGAGCGCACAAACTTTGTATCATTTTACTGAGTTTTTGTAGGATCTTCATTTGATTTCAATATTATTTTTAACTATTTTCTATTATTTTCTAATTTCAATATTAATTTTAACTATTTTTTATTATTTTTTAATTTCAATATTATTTTTTTTATTTAAAGATTAAAGTTCGTTGCCGCGCGTTATTAAGCGCACAGAGTTGTGTTATTTATATCTTTCTGTAACAAGCGTGAGGTGTAAATTTAATTATTGAATTATTATTTAATTCAATTTAAAATGTCTTTGCTGTTTTCATCAATTACAGCAACTCAATTGGCTTTAAATGTTGAAATCATTGAACGAGCTTTATGGATAGCAACACTAAATTTATGTCAAAATAAATTATCTATAGTAACTTCAAGTAAAGGTTAGGTTTGACTAAAGTTAGTAATATTTAAAATTGCTTGAATATTGTTGAGTGCACAAATAAGTCTGGAAATATTTATATTAACAAGTCTTCCCGTTTACATGTTATAATAATTATTTCACTAATATTCTTGCGAACAGGTGCTTGAATTGAATACATTAATACTCCTATCCGTTCTGCAGATGGATCCCTAACAAAATTTAGAGCCGAGGGCGGCTCTGGATTAAGTAAGGCCTAGGACTCGGGGAGCACAGTCCACCAGCTTCCCTATGTCCGCTTTTCGGTCTACATTCCGGTCCCCGAATCAGACACCTACCAGCGCCTGGTACTTATTCTGCCAACTCTTGCCCTACTCTCAGGAGACCATAAAGTCGGCCAGGAGGTTCTGACTAGTCGCTGATTGCGATCAGTTGGCCAACTGACCCAGAATAACTCTTACGCGAACACATAGCAACTCTGGGGCGGAGGCTGAAGCGTACCTTGAATTTTGTTAGGGTTGTAGGTTGAAACTTTTTTGGGGGGGTAAATTTTACGGACCAAACATTTAATGAGAAGTGAAGGGTGCAGTGTGAAGGGTGCAGTGTGAAGGGTGCAGTGTGAAGGGTGCAGTGTGAAGGGTGCAGTGTGAAGGGTGCAGTGTGAAGGGCGAAAGGCTTGCATCACACAATTTATTCAGCCTGTGACGTAGGTTGAATGCAGAGATCAAAGTTGCTACGCTGAACGCATACAAATCTCTGGATGTGGCGGCGAGGATTCGGAAAATAAATTGAAATTTCTGTGAAAATAGTTCAAAAGCAAGTAAAATACCAAATAAATTCATTACATCTTCATTAAAAACGTTCTGGAGATCAACTTCATCATTAGTGCTAAGTTTGAACTGATAAACGTTTCAGACATTTTTTAATGAAGATATGGAGAATTTTCTAAACTTTTTTTTGCTTTTAATTTTTCTGCTGAACATGGAGTTTACGTAGAAAATAATAAAAGTAATTAGTGCGTGCATAAGGGAATGTTTCATGTTCATCTCAACTTGATTTATTATACTTTTCAGTATTGGACAAAAGTTCTAATCCTAAAATGTAATTTACATAAAAACAGTTCGAGCGATTTCAGTCCTCAAAGCTTTATTTTTCTTGCTTATAGACAAAACTACATCTAATTAGGATAATACATCTAATTGGGATAACTATAGCCATTTGGGATAACTACAGCCAATCAGGATAACTACAGCCAATTAGGATAACTACAGCCAGTTAGGATAACTACAGCCAATTAGGATAACTACAGCCAAGTTGGGATAACTACAGCCAATCAGGATAACTACAGCCAATTAGGATAAACTACAGCCAATTAGGATAACTACAGCCAATTAGGATAACAACAGCCAGTTGGGATAACTACAGCCAATCAGGATAACTACAGCCAATTAGGATAAATAAAGCCAGTTAGGATAACTACAGCCAATTAGGATAACTACAGCCAATTAGGATAAATAAAGCCAGTTATTAGGATAACTACAGCCAGTTAGGATAACTACAGCCAATTAGGATAACTACAGCCAATTAGGATAACTACAGCCAATTAGGATAACTACAGCCAATTAGGACAACTACAGGCAATTAGGATAACTACGGCCAATTAGGATAAATAAAGGCAGTTAGGATAACTACAGCCATTTGTGATAAACTAAGATAAAATCCGACCAGGTATGACAAGATTTTTTCATCATTATTCATTGATTAATTTCAAATTATTTTTTTATTGCGTATGGGTGGAAAAATGCCGGCCAAAAATGAGTGTTGTATTTTAATTGGTTAGTTAATTAGTTTGATTTGAATTAATTGTTTTTATTTTAGTTAATTATTTTGATTATAGATTTTGATTTATTATTTTGCTATTTAATAATTATACAATGTTGAAACAATATTATAATGTTCGTTTGTAAGACCAACTCACAATATTTAAGCACATGATCAATAATGATTCATCCTGCGTTCATTCATTGTCCATGCACTGATACGAATTTTGTAAGGTATATTATTTTGTATGCAATTCATACAAGTTTTTCATTATCTGAAAATTTTTTGTCCGATATATAGACACTATTAGATGCAGGTATTTTCTTCTAAGTGGAAACTATGATACTTATTTTTTAAATACTCATATTCTTTTTTCTTCTCAGGTCCCCAAATACTTCTTCTCTCTGATACTCTTTTACATCTCAGACAGTAACATTAATTTTATTGTCAGATACTTTCAGTTACTGCGATACTTTTTTCTGCGATAACAATGTATTACTTTTTTTTCTCAGGCGTACTCAAACATTTTCAACGAAGCTGTTGAATTGCTTGAACTCAAAGACAATCCAGTGTTCACTCACTAACCTAGAATGCCTATATAATATTGAACATATATAATAAAATTTATAATAATAAGTGCCAATAGGATTTTAGTAATAATATATTAATTAACAAGTATTTCATTTTTAAGTAGCTTAAACTGTGAATAAATCGTGGATTTAATCAAGAATAAATGTTAATTGATTGTGTCATAATTCGATTCGTCACCATAATTTTGTAATGTAGAAGAGAGGTATTGAATTCACCGCTTAAAAGTCCAGAGTGATGTTTAACAAATGAATTTATATACATGTTTTATGTAACATTAAATTTATTCACATTATGAGCCTTTATTTTACCCAATTTAATTTAAATGATTTTGTTTACATTATGAGCCTTTATTTTACCCCATTTAATTCAAATTGGCTCCAGTTTCAGTTCAAAACTTTAAGAACTGCATCAGTTCTGAAGAGAACGTTGTGAAACATTTATATTATCATTAAATTCTTTTTATTTATATTACCGTGGCACATTTATATCGTATATTATTTATATATAACGCACATACTTCAATTACATCGGATAGATCATTCATGGATTGCGATGAACTAACGGGTCATTTTGCTATATTTTAATTCCTTTTACATACAACAAAAACCCAATAAAGAAAATATAATCGTGCTTTTGTTCATGTCTCTTTACTTGGCTAATTTGATTTCGATTTTTTAGTTAACTTGAGATAATTTAGACTTCATAACTGTTTAAATAATAATAACTAATAAAGCAGTAGGTAATAATATAATAAATGAATTAAATAATAATAATAAATTAGAATCAACAGTAATGAAATCAACTTCAAACCGGCAATCAGGCAATCACACCGAGCGGTTATTTTCGCAACAAACTTCCGACGAAAAAACCGACATGAGTCACCATGCTTTGCAATGCAGCTCATAGCTCCTGTATATATACACATCATCCTCATTATCATTCTTATATAGTTCCTCATACACAACACGCTCGGCCTCGGTATCCTTGAGGCGCGTTCTGAATTATCATTTTAACCCCGCAGAATTTTCCAGAATAATTCCAGTATTAAAGTTATTACAATTCTAGCCGCGCGCCTGCATCTGCCCAGGTTGTTGCGGCACGCAGGATGTTGCGGTGACTCGTAAACCGTCGACTGAATCTTACTCTTACGTCTTCAAAAGAACGTAAGAGTAAGATTTAGTAATAGCTTACGATTCACTGCAATAATAAAACATATCAGGGAACGTAGGAGTAAGATTTATTAACAGTTTCCAATTCACTGCATTAATAAAGACATATCAGGGAACGTAGGAGTAAAGTTTAGTAATAGTTTACGATTCACTGTATTAATAAAGACATATCAGGGGAGCGTAAGAGTAAGATTTAGTAACAGTTTACGATTCACTGCATTAATAAAAACACATCAGGGAAACGTAAGAGTCAACAGTTTACGATTCACTGCAGTAATAAAACATGTCAGAGGTACGTATGAGTAAGATTCAGTCAAGAGTTTACGATTCACTGCAATAATAAAAGATATCAGTGGTGTGTAAGAGTACAATTCAGTCATAAGACCACGATTCATTACAATATTAAAGACGCATTTGGTAAACGTATGAGTTAGATCCAGTCAACGGTTTACTATATATCAGAGGAATAACTTGTAACGTATAAGTAATATTCGAAACGAACTGAATCTCACTCGCTGGCTCCACTGATATTTATTATCGAAGTGAATCGTAAACTTTTTACTTAATGTCACTCTACCATGTGCCCTTTCAGAATTTTGAAATTTCACGCGTTTAAAATGGCAAGAAAATTTATAATTTTTTCTGAGAAAATTTCGAAGACCAGATCTTCATTGATTAAAAATTAATTCAACAAATAGAATTTTTTTGCCATATTTGGAATTCTTCGAAGAATATTCTTGATTTTCTATCGTTGTTTCTAATTCTCTTCTGTTCAAATTTAGCATTTCTGAATAATTCAGGTGTAAAATAAATTTTGCATGAGTTTTATATATTTTCATGATCCTTTAAGAATCTTAGGCAACTAAAAGAAAAACTTCAACGCATGCCATTGAAAATAATAACAGCTCAACAGTGCAGTGCTCCCATTAGAGATAACAGCAACACAGCGGTGCAGTGCTCCCATTAGAGATAACAGCAACACAGCTGGTGCAGTGCTCCCATTAGAGATAACAGCAACACAGCGGTGCAATCATTAAACTCTGCATGATGATGGTGAAATTTACAAAATTTTATGTTTCCGTTGGACGTTGGTCAATCTACATTTTTGACCATTGGCCGCTAGCGTCTTGTTATCCTTTTGACTTTATTTGGTCGATAATACCGAGGGAATTTTGAATTGGATTGAAAAATTTAGTATGAATCAAAAACTTGAATTTAAATTGAGACATTAAATATATACTTAAAAATTTTATTTCAATGGGAGCATTTAATGTCTATTGAAAACATGAATTTAAATTTAAAAGCTAATTCAAATTATAAAATTTAGTTTAAAGTGAAATAGTGAATTGAACGGGAAAAATGAATTGAAATGAAACAATTAATCAAAATAAAAAAATATAATGTATAACTGCAAGATTGAATATCGGTTGCAAAATCGAATTTAAATTGAAAAATTTAATTCAAACTGATAGTTACAATACAATTGAAAAATAAATAAATCAAATTAAAATCTTTTCGCAGAATGATTCACTACATTGTCAAGATGTAACTTTAATAAGGAATGTAATAATGTTCAATAGCCTTTATTAATCATATTAATTAACCTATCTTTCATGAAGTTCCGAATTGGTACCGCTAAGTATACGAAGATGGATAATGACCAAATATGATCATTTAGGTAATACAACATACATAATTACAACGAAGTGACATTTGATTTGGAAAAAACCAAATACTTTTAGATCCCCTCAATATGAGATAATTTATGATTAGATTAGATTACATTAGATTTATGATTACATTATTTATGATTACATTAGATTTATGAAATAAATAAAGCTTGTCATAATATTCGACAATGAACTGCATATTGAAGCTAGTTGTCTACGGGACATTAGTAACTCTGACGAATTCATTCTCAAGCCCACATTCATAATCATTAAACAACACCACATTCATAATCAGTAAACAAAACCACTTCCATAATCAGTAAACAACACCACTTCCATAATCAGTAAACAACCCACATTCATAATCAGTAAACAACCCACTTTCATAATCAGTAAACAACACCACATTCATAATCAGTAAACAACCCACATTCATAATCAGTAAACAACACCACTTCCATAATCAGTAAACAACACCACATTCATAATCAGTAAACAACACCACTTCCATAATCAGTAAACAACACCACTTTCATAATCGTTATACAAGCACACTTTCATAATCACTAATCAACAATCCAAGAAATTAAATAAACATATTTTTTCGTCAAGTAGCAATTAATAGCTGGAGGTTTTTCAGAAAGTGGGTCAAACATCATAAGTTCAAGAGATGGAATATAAATGTCAAAAAGTGCAGTCTCAGAGATGACTCTAGTAGTAAAGTATTCCAGTAGCAAAGTATTAGTATTCTAGAGAGTAAACTAATTGAAATCAATCAAATTTCCATGCGATAAGGAATACTTCGATTTGACATGTTCATTAGTTATCAAATGATATCCTGCATAAAAGTCTATGAAAAATTCGCATTGTGGTTAATTACGAAAAATTAGTCCCGATTTTGACTTGAATTACCTTGAGTGCGATATTAAAATGTCGCTCCTGATAAACTTTGTAAATCTACTATATTTTATTGAACTATTGAACGATTTCAACTCAGGGCATTGATGTAAATTTGCTGGACCGAAATCTTATTCGAAACGAAGAATTGATGATTAAAACGTCAATTAAATGGAATAAATTTGTGTTTCTTTACCCTTGTAATGCGATATATATTGTACGAGCCTCGTGAGGCAGATTATAAGAGCTATACAATGCTAGTGAGGCAGCCAATCAGAAGTTAGCGGTGCTAGTGAGGCAGCCAATCAGAAGTTAGCAGAACTAGTGAGGCAGCCAATCAGAAGTTAGCAGGGCTAGTGAGGCAGCCAATCAGAAATTAGCGGTGCTAGTGAGGCAGCCAATCAGAAGAGCGGCTTTTCAGTGGCTACATGGATCAGCGTCGTTGATACTCCAGGTTAAAATCCTCTGACACACTGAGTCAAAAAATATCCGACATACTGAGTCAAAAAGCCCCTCACACGCTGAGTCAAAAGCCCCTGACACACTGAGTCGTAAGCTCCTGACACACTAAGCTAGAAATCCTCTGACACACTGAGTCAGAAATTCTCAGACGCACTGAGCTTAGATGTTCAGTACATCGGTGTATGTTAGATCATCACTAATCAGACTCAAAATAAAAAAAAACCTCAACTGTTATTGTGAAATATATCTTATTTCCTCAGTAATTACTTGAAACAAAAGGCTTAAATTTTCTAAATAGATAAAAGCTTTCACAAAGATCACCGCGTAGTTCATTTGAACGCTTGTAATTAGTTAAACTAAATTGAATTTCGTTTCCTAAAGAGGATCTCCAATAAATATTGAATGTAACATAACGTTGACTAAGGAATCATAAATAATATAACCAAGGTTAATTTTAGACAACTTTAATTCAGTTGGCAAGGGAACAAATAAATGTAGTTGTTTCTACTTAATATATTAATAACTAAAAAAAGAAGATCCGAAACCGAGATCCTGAATAAAGTGCAACTTCGTTCGCAATAATATTTTTCTTGTTATTAAATCATCGTGTAATCTAACAGAATAACAACGGAAGAACAGTAGACAATAATTTAAAAATATGAAAAGATTGAGTCAGAAAAATAGGGTATATTAAGAAAAATATTACGAATCAGTTGTAGAAATGTATTAAATCGTGTGCTTTGACAATGCAGATACTCTAGGCTTGGTTAGAAATAGGAAATCTTAAAATCAGCAGTATGGTACTACACACTATGTAAGGGATTGTAAAGAAAACCAAAAGTTGCAGAGAAATAAGAAAAAACTGAATTGTTCAGAAGTAAACAATTCAGGAATTTTCACTGTTATAGATAATTAGAAAGATTAAGAATCACTTGGAGGCGCGGGTTTATCATAAGCTAACTGAGTTCCGCCCGAATTGTTCTGGTCAAAAATGTACTTCTTGCGAAGCTCATGAAGCTCCTGGCGACGACGTAACTTGGTAGCTTCATCGTCAGATTCTAGGGGCGGATGTTCAGTTGCTGAGGACTCCTCTGCGCCTTGCCGCTTGGCAAAACCAGAGCTCACTCCTGGTCTTGAAGAATACAAAAAATTTAAAAGATTAGGACACCAAAATGACTGGTACTTACATTCATGTCAATTACTCTATTGGAAATCCAAAGTGGAAGCTTTTCAGACAGCAGTAATTTTTGAATGACAGAATATAGTAACGAAAATCAATATTTGCTTCTCCCAAGCAACATTTTCTTTCGGGTTTGAACAAAGTACCAGGCAAAGAAAAAATTTTCAGTTAGGGCGACCGGGGAAAGTTTTGTTAAAAATTTCGATTAATGAACATGCAAAATCCATTATTTAACGACATACCTGAGCCAGCGAAGCCACCCGAGGATGGGAAGGCAGGGCTTCTCGCTCCAGAAGAGAAGCTTGAGCCATCGAAGGAAGAGCTAGAAAAGCTTGATGACGAATCAGGCTGACCGGCACTAAAGAAAGTGGGGGCATTGATGCTATCAGGCTCTTGACTTCCGAAAGAAGGGGCCCCAAATTGGCTTTCCGAAGCTACTTGCCCAGATCCAAACTGGTCAGGTGCAAATGTATCTTCCCCGCTGTTGAAATCGTCCGCTGATCTCCGATTAAATTGCTTTGCTGATGATCCAGATGAAGCTGCTGGTTGGATTGCTGAAGGAGGAAGTCCAGCCGCTCCAACTCCAGAAACGGAACGAGCAGTGGTCGTTGGGACCTTGGTTGTCGAGTCATCAGCGGATCTGCGAACGAAATGCCCTGATGGTGCAGGAGCTGAGCTTGAAGGTGACCCAAAGGGAGAAGCAGGACGACCATCAGAGCTTTGGGCTCCACCATTGGCGTTACTCGCTGATGAACCTTGGCTTCCAAAAGTCGAAGAAGGTGATTGGAAACCAATAGATGCTCCTTGTCCAGAAGCGCCTACAGATGGACGTCCAATTCCAGAGGATGACCCTGCAGAAGTTCCAGGCTGTTCTTGAGCAGATCTCCGTTGGAATGTACGAACGGGAGTGCTTGAAGCTACTGGTTTGGATGAAATAGAGCCGACGTTTGATGTAGAACTGCCGAACGACGTCGCTCCCCTGTTCGAAGACTCAATTGATGAGTTCCTCGCCGATGCTGACACAGGCCTCCCGAAAGTAGAAACACCAGATGGGGATGCTCCGCTTGATGGAGTCAGCTGAGCTGATCTGTCAAAACGAGATGAACTTGCAACTCCAGAGTTGGATGAAATAGGGTTAACGCTTGATGCAGGGCTACCGAATGTCCCCGTTCCTCTATTCGATGACTCAATTGATGAGTTTCTTGCTGATACTGACACTGGACGTCCGAAGGTAGACACACCAGATGCAGATGCTCCGCTTGAAGGGGTCAACTGAGCTGATCTGTCAAAACGAGATGAACCAGCAACTCCCTGATGGGAGGAAGATGAACCAAGGCTTGATGGAGAGTTACTAAACGACGTTGTTCCTCTATTGGAAGAGTCGAATGACGAGGTCCTATTTGATGCGGACGATGTGGCCCCTGTCTGTGCGCTTGAGGTTCCGAAAGAAGCAACTGCGGAAGGAGACGCTCCGCTTGAGGAAGCAAACTGAGCAGACCTGCGAACAATAGAATGCGAAGCACCAACAGATGTGCTAGAGCGTGAGCTGTTAGATCCTCCTTTCAATCCTTCGTCGTTGGTGCTGGAGGAAGCAACTGCAGAGGGTGAAAGTCCCCCAACCGACGTTACGGGCGAACTGTTATCATTTCCGGCCGATCGTCGGACAAAGCTGCTTGATCCGCCAATGTGTGAAGTAGAACTTCCAGTAGGAGTCTTGCTATCTTTATCTGAGTTTCCATCTTTGCCGGCTGAAGCACTTCCACTTGCAGAGGATGCAGCTCCAGTTGGTGAGAGTCCAGCTGCTGGTGCAGTGTCTTCTCCAGTGGATCTTCGGACAAAGCTGCTTGCTGCTCCAGATTGTGATGAAGGAAATGCGGCGGGACGCTTGCTGTCGTCATCTGAGTCATCATCATCATCATCGCTTCCATTAGCGGAAGATGTAGCTCCTGATGGCGAGAGTCCTGCTACAGGTTTTCCCGCTGATGCGCTGTCTTCTCCAGTGGATCTTCGGACAAAGCTGCTTGATCCGCCAATGTGTGATGTGGAACTTCCAGCGGGGGTCTTGCTATCTTTGTCTGAGCTTCCTGCTTTGTCGGCTGAAGCACTTCCACTTGCAGAGGATGCAGCTCCAGTTGGTGAGAGTCCAGCTGCTGGTGCAGTGTCTTCTCCAGTGGATCTTCGGACAAAGCTGCTTGCTGCTCCAGATTGTGATGAAGGAAATGCGGCGGGACGCTTGCTGTCGTCATCTGAGTCATCATCATCATCATCGCTTCCATTAGCGGAAGATGTAGCTCCTGATGGCGAGAGTCCTGCTACAGGCTTTCCCACTGATGCGCTGTCTTCTCCAGTAGACCTTCGGACAAAGCTGCTTGATCCGCCAATGTGTGAAGTGGAACTTCCAGCAGGAACCTTGCTATCTTTGTCTGAGCTTCCAGCTTTGTCGGCTGAAGAACTTCCACTTGCTGGGGATGCAGCTCCAGATGGTGAAAGTCCAGCTACTGGTGCGGTGTCTTCTCCAGTGGATCTTCGGACAAAGCTGCTTGATCCTCCAATGGTTGATGCGGGATTTCCAGCAGGAGTCTTGCTATCTTTGTCTGAGCTTCCTGCTTTGACCGCTGAAGCACTTCCACTTGCAGAGGATGCAGCTCCTGATGCTGTGAGTCCGGCTACTGGTGCAGAATCTTCTCCAGTAGAACTTCGAACAAATCTGCTGGCCACTCCAGTATGTGGTGAAGAGGAAGCAGCGGGACGCTTGCTGTCGCTGTTTGTGTCATCATCATCATCATCATCACTATCGTTACCAGTGGCGGAAGATGCAGCTCCAGTCGGGGTAAGTCCAGCTGCTGGTGCTCCAGCTGATGCAGAATCTTCTCCAGTGGATCTTCGAACAAAGCTGCTTGCAGCTCCAGAATGTGATGCTGAAGGAGCAGCGGGAACCTTTTTATCTTCAGCCGAGACATCATGGTCAACATCATCATCATCGTCGTCATTTCCAGTGGCAGAAGATGAAGCTCCAGATGATGATAGTCCAGCTACTGGAGCATTATTTTCTCCAGCAGATCTACGGACAAAACTGCTGGCCGCTCCAGAATGTGATACAGGAGAAGCCGCGGAATGCTGGCTATCTTTATCATCTTCATCAGAATCATCGTCGTCATAATTTTTGGTGGGAAGGGATGCAGCTCCTGATGGCGAAAGTCCAGCTACTGGTGCTCCAGACGGAGCAGTTCCTTCTCCAGCTGATCTGCGGACAAAACTGCTTGCAGATCCAAAGTGGGATGCTGGAGGACTGCCAGATGCAGCTGTACTATTAAATTTAGACTGCGCGTCATCGGTATCTTCGGCTGATCTCCGCGTTTTGTTGGCCTTCACGTCTCCTCCATCTGTTGCTTCCTCCCCAGTTCGGTGGAAGAAACCTAGGATGCTATGAATAGTAGAATTAAAAGAAGTGGAGTTATTTTCTCCAGATGTGGATGTCGCATTGGAAGTATTGTTTCCGGAAGTAGCATTTCCGAAGGTACTGTTTCCGAAAGTAGAGTTCTTTCCTGGCAATGCAGTTTCTTCTCCAGCGGATCTGCGGACAAATCTGGTGCCATGTGCAGTTTCTGATGCTGGATTTGAAACAGTGGTCTTGCTATCTTTATCTGAGCTTCCAGCTTTGTCGGCTGTAGCACTTCCACTTGCAGAGGATGCAGCTCCAGATGGTGAGAATCCAGCTGCTGGTGCAGTGTTTTCTCCAGTGGATCTTCGGACAAAACTGCTTGTTCCTCCAACGACAGATAAGGGAGTTCCAGCAGGAGTCTTGCTATCTTTATCTGAGCTTCCAGCTTTGTCGGCTGTAGCACTTCCACTTGCAGAGGATGCAGCTCCAGATGATGATAGTCCAGTTGCTGGTGCTGTGTCTTCGCCAGTGGATCGTCGGACAAAGCTGCTTGATCCTCCAACGGTTGATGCGGGAGTTCCAGCAGGAGTCTTGCTATCTTTATCTGAGTTTCCGGTTTTGTCGGCTGTAGCACTTCCACTTCCAGAGGATGTAGCTCCAGATGGTGAGAGTCCAGCTGCTGGTGCAGCGTCTTCGCCAGTAGATCTTCGGACAAAGCTGCTTGATCCACCAACGGTTGATGCGGGAGTTCCAGAAGGAGTCTTGCTATCTTTATCTGAGCTTCCAGCTTTGTCGGCTGTAGCACTTCCACTTGCAGAGGATGCAGCTCCAGATGGTGAGAGTCCAGCTGCTGGTGCAGTGTCTTCTCCAGTGGATCTTCGGACAAAACTGCTTGCTCCTCCAACGGCAGATGAGGGAGTTCCAGAAGGAGTCTTGTTATCTTTATCTGAGTTTCCAGTTTTGTCGGCTGTAGCACTTCCACTTGCAGAAGATGCAGCTCCAGATGGTGAGAGTCCAGCTGCTGGTGCAGTGTCTTCGCCAGTGGATCTTCGGACAAAGCTGCTTGATCCTCCTACGGTTGATGCGGGAGTTCCAGCAGGAGTCTTGCTATCTTTATCTGAGCTTCCAGCTTTTTCGGCTGTAGCACTTCCACTTGCAGAAGATGCAGCTCCAGATGGTGAGAGTCCAGCTGCTGGTGCAGTGTCTTCACCAGTGGATCTTCGGACAAAGCTGCTTGATCCTCCTACGGTTGATGCGGGAGTTCCAGCAGGAGTCTTGCTATCTTTATCTGAGCTTCCAGCTTTGTCGGCTGTAGCACTTCCACTTGCAGAAGATGCAGCTCCAGATGGTGAGAGTCCAGCTGCTGGTGCAGCATCTTCGCCAGTGGATCTTCTGGCAAAGCTGCTTGATCCTCCAATAGTTGAAGCGGGAGTTCCAGCAGGAGTCTTTCTATCTTTATCTGAGCTTCCAGCTTTGTCGGCTGGAGCACTTCCACTTGTAGAGGATGCAGCTCCAGAAGGTGAGAGTCCAGCTACTGGAGCAGAGTCTTCTCCAGTGGATCTTCGGACAAAACTGCTTGATCCTCCAACGGTTGATGCAGGGTTGAGCGTTGACCCTGGCGATTTTGCGTTGGTGGTGGCGTTTGAATCCTTCAGTAGGATGGGTCCGAAACTCGACCCTGAACTTTTGTCGGATCCCACTGAGTCGCTGGTTTGTCCATTAAATGGAAGACTGTAAGTCAGAGTGCAGAGGCACACGACAAACAAAAATGCCTGAAACGAAGAAAATAACCGTTATAAAAGTATTAAATTGTCTGTCTTTTAACTCAAAGAGTTAAGGGGAGCGTCTTAGAACAACTGTACTACCGTCGGCGTTTCTCAATAACTTTTTTGTTATACATTTATTAAGATTTTTAGAAATTCATACTATTTTTTCCTGATGATCATTTTAAAACTTGGTACACATATGTAAAACAGAGATCAGAGCATTTTTATTCACGTAAATTTTTCGAAAAAACTGTAAGAAAACGTGAAATACGTAGAAAACGGCATTAACGGCAAAAAATTAACGTTCTACAACATTGATAGACATATCATTCGATTTGTAAAGACCACATCTACCGATCACCCGACCATTTTTTCCGAATTACAATTTTTTTGGTGGGGGATTTTTATTTTTTTTCCAGTTTTCGCAACCCCCCACCCGTTTTTTCAATGTATAATCGAAACTAAAACGAAATCGAAAAAAATGACAGGGGAATCGACATGGATTTTTTTGTGAATTGAACGATATATCTCTCAATGCTGTAGGTTGAAAATCATGGAGGGGATAAATTTTTAATATGATAAATTCAACTTTTCAGGAGAGTAAAAAAATTTACTTTTGAGATCATTGAAGGTATCGGTTTTACTTGTTCTTCGACGGCTGTCGTGAACGAACAAATGAACACACAAACATGACTTTGGGCTCTTTAAATGTGTAATTTTTGGACCTTTAAAATGAGCCTAAAACTGGAGACGTCGAAATTTCCAATTTTGGCCAAGAAGCTCCCCTAAAAACAATTTCAAAGTTCGTTCCGAATCAGAAGAGTTCGGAATTTAGAGTATAGAAATTCATCCATGATACAGATTTGGCTTAAGTGAATGTAGCGCAAAAAAAATTAATGCAAACTTAGAAAGCTAATTTATAACAAATGGTAACAGGATTTGAAAAACATTTCATTTCAGCAGTCCTGTAAAATATACATTTAAAGAAAAATGCGGAATGAATTCTTTCTTATCAGTAACCTGTACAACAAAATTATAAAAATTCCTGAAGTTTTATTGAATGAAATTATTTAGGAGAAAAATTGGTTATTCATGTCAATATTATGTTCAGAGAAAAAATTACTGGGATTTTGGCAAAAACTGACCACATATTACAGCGGCAAAAGCAGCAACTACCAGTTAATGTTTCAGAAAATATTGGCAAATTCTTCTTTTATAATTAAATTTATTTACTAAAAGAAACCACACTGCTGGCTCATGTCATTTAAAGCCAAACTCGGTCTCTTACCAACTTCATTTTGGCAATAATCTTGATCCTACGGAGGCAGAAGCGTTCTCTCCACGAGACCTGAACCACTTCTCGGCGAGGACTGCAGGGACCGCCAAGTTTTTATAGTCCCCGCTGAGCGCGAACCCCGTACGAATATCATTACGCTCGTCACGTCCACTTTCCAAAGTCAGCGGCGATGTTGCAATGCAGTGGACACTTTAAAGTAAACCCAAGCACGTGCGGGTGGCGTCGCTCAGTGCATGTGGATAACCTGGTGTTTCGTAGCTTCCATTTCAGTGTTGGACAATGCATTTATTGGTAAACCTATATTGCTAATATGAAGATTCTAGATTATTTTTGTTATAAATTAGGTTTATTAATGGGGTAACCTAAGCAAAATTACATACTACATTTTTGCCATAAATTAGGTTTATTAATGGGGCTAAATTAAGCAAATTTACATGATACATGATATACCCATTGCATTAGTTCAACTTAGTCTTTCGTCCATTTCAGTGTTGGACAATGCATTTTTTGGTAAACTTGTATTGCTAATATGAAGATTTTTGATTATTTTTATTATACATTAGATTAATTAATGGGGTTGACCGTAGCAAAATTACATGCTACTTGATAAACTCTGAGCAATTATTTTTATTATACATTAGATTAATTAATGGGGTTGACTTTAGCAAAATTACATGCTACTTGATAAACTCTGAGCATTAGTTCAAGTTACTCTTCGGTAGCGTCCATTTAAGTGTTGGACAATGCATTTTTTGATAAACTTGTATCGCTAAAATGAAGATTTTTCATTATTTAAGTGAACTTATACTAGTTGAAGGACGATTTCATTTAATTGTAATTATACATGAGGTATGCAAAATATCATAATTCGTGATATGCTAAATGAATTAGATGAACGTGCTCTTCGATAGCGCCCGTTTCGTTACTTGATAAAGAATTTTTTCTGAACTTTTTAATTTTTGATTATTTCGTGGAACTTAAGACATATTGATGGTTCGAGATTATTCTTATGATATATGATCTTGAAAAAGCAAAGTAATGTGATAAAATTCAAGATAAAATGTTTTAAATGATAATTGGAAAAATAACTTGATTTCAACAATGTGAATTACAGAAATAAATATTCAAAAATATCGTTGCTCAGGAGGAACAAAATCTGAAGATTAAATACAAGTTGAATAAACTTAGCAATCGATTAATTCTAAGGTTAGCAGCCAAGCTGCATAATTGATGAGTCGAAGAGGCAATAAACTCTGCTTGACCCTCAAGTGATTCTGGACGTTCAACTTGTTTATCCTACCAATTCGTGTAATAAATTTTTTCGAGAGTTTATTCATGTGAGAGGGGAAGCAATATTATCACGAAAAATATATTCTTGTGAGAGGGAAAAGAATATTACCGCGAAATATTCATGTTTATTTTTATATTCATGTGGGAGGGGAAAGAATATTATCACGATAAATATATTCTTGTGAGAGGGGAAGCAATATTACCGCAACTATATATATTCTTGTGAGATGGGAAAGAATATTACCGTTAAAAATTTATTCATGTGGGAGGGGAAAGAATATTATCGCGAAAAATATAGTCATGTGAGAAGGAAAAGAATATTACCGCGATGAATATATTCTTGTGAGAAGGGAAAGAATATTATCACGATAAATCTATTCTTGTGAGAAAAGAAAGAATATTAACACGATAAATATACTCATGTGGGAGGGGAAAGAATATTACCGCGATAAATATATTCATGTGAGAAGGGAAAGAATATTACCGTGATAAATATATTCTTGTGAGAAAAGAAAAAATATTAACACGATAAACTTATTCATGTGAGAAGGGAAAGAATATTACCGTTAAAAATTTATTCATGTGAGATAGGAAAAAATATTACCACGAAATATATATTCTTGTGAGAGGAGAAAGAATATTATCACAAAAAAATATATTCCTGTGAGAAAGGAAAGAACATTACCGTTAAAAATATATTCTTGTGAGAAGGGAAAGAATATTATCACGATAAATATATTCATGTGAGAAGGGAAAAAATATTACCGCAAAAAATATATTCTTGTGAGATGGGAAAGAATATTACCACAGTAAATTTATTCATGTGAGATGGGAAAGAATATTACCACGATAAATATATTCTTGTGAGAAGGAAAAGAATATTACCGCGATAAATTTATTCATGTGAGATGGGAAAGAATTTTTAACACACTTTTTTAAACACAAAAAAATGTTTGGTATCATTGTTGTTATATATGACTGGTGCCATTTTAGATGACTGGTGCCGTATAAATTAGATCTACGCGGCAGTTTTCATTCACTAGTAGGAATTTACCACGATTGAATTCCGTGCAAAACAAGGACAATAATTAAATCGACTTTAAAAATTAAATGTTTAGAAGTACATTTAAAATTTTGCAAGGTTATATCTCAGAAAAGGGAAACACTAGCATAAATAAAACGAACCTTATATCGATCCATTTCTAGTTTATTTCGAATAAAACGAATCTTATATATACGAACGAATCTTATATACTCTAGTTTATTTCGAATATTTATTCTTAAACTAACATGAAACAGTGTAAATATAATGCGAAGTATCGGAATGAAAACATAGAGGAATATTGCTTTCTCTTATGTAAAGCACAATGATACTAGAAATAAACTTATCTAGATAGCGTATTGAATAGAATTGTATTGAATGGGATTATATAGAATTAAACAGAATGTTTTAATTCCGTTCAGCACTTAAAATTCCATATAAATATTCAGTGGTATATTATTTTGATTGTAAATTAGTTTTCAAATTATATATAAAATTAGCAACTTTAATAAATTTTGGTTGGGTCAAAAATTGAGGTGAAACTTTTGCAAAGAAGGAAGCGAACGATAGTAAATGAGCGGATTATGCCTCACGAATAGAAAAAATTGTTATTTTTTAAAAATAAAAAGAATTGAAAAATCCAAGAAAAGGCGGCTTTTCTCCGATCTCTGAATGATTATTGGATCACTTTATGACAAAAATTTCTAGCCAAAAAATGGCTAGAAAATTCCTCATTAATTAAATTTTAAGCCGCGGCCTGGGCAAATGAATCATCTTTTTTTTTGCTAATTTGTAATTGAAGAACCTGTGAACAAAACCGTTATAGAATATTTGAAACTTCCCGCATAGAAACGGTCGAATTTCAAAAATTCTGATCGGATGTTTGGTGGTATTTGATACTTATAACTATTACGATGGCTAATCGATAATAATTAGTGTTCGGAAGAATAACGATAATGAACTTAAACATGAATAATTATTTATCGTTTTTTACGCAAAGTGTTATATATATTTTATATATGTTGTAAATGTATATAATATTGTAATGTATGCATATACCCTTTTTTAGTATTGTTTTCTTTTTCGAAATCTCCGGTGCACTCTGTTTTCAAAGAGAGGTTGAATCCTTGCTTGGGCTTTCCTATTGCTTAAGTCTATATATCGTTAGATCTAATTTTCATGGACAACTTCTATAAACGGATTAAGTTAACTGTACATTGAAGAGGCGTTCAGAATCTTCAAGAACTTGGCAGATTCAGTGGAGCATAACAAGATAAAATTTCTAAACAATTTCTTGGAACTAATTATCATTATAAATAGCATAGAGACAAGCTTCATTAAAAACATGTGAATGAAAGCTCGCTGTTAAATTTTATTCCATGTTTCTTATTTTTATTGTTTCGTAAAATATTTGAATTAATGAAGTTAATTTACCCAAGCTTGACACAATTATGGGATAAAATCAGTGACAAGACTTGGATAAGTTTAATGGGTCAATCCGTTTATTCGACCAGGGGCCATACTTTCATAACTCGCTAAGTGAACGTAAGTACTTACGCTCTATTTTTTTGTCTATAATTGGCGGATTTTGCTTGAAAGGCCGTCAATGATTGGCTGATGAACTTACGATCTCTTGACTTTTTTTGAATGTATAGGCCCAGGCTTCTATATGTCAAACGTATTTGCGGTTCACATACATGCATTTTATTTTACAACTTACGCAATTTCGAAAGAAGGGTATTAAAAATGCAACTTAGAACGTTGCACAAAGATTTACTGACTTGAGCTCTGTGAAAAATATGTCAATGACCTAAGGTTGACACGAAAGGCAAAAACATTTCGCCACAATGAGCTTCATGCTTTAGCTCAGCGACCAAAGTGAAACATTCAATCGGGCTTAAACGTAACTCAAATTTGGTCAAAATGAATTAAAAAATCATCGACAAACCATACGGAAAAATGTTTACAAAATGTTAGAAAATATCATGAATTCTCTGATATGAATTTTAAGCCGATTGAACGATTTCTAGAATTAAGTAAAATATTCTTTTTACATTAATTAAATGAAAGGCCATTAACTGGAACTCTTTTCCATTCACAATATCAAGCAAACTCGAGATCATGAGACCTAATTCTATGAACGGCTCTTGTATAATTTCGCAGGACTTCTTCGGAAAGATTTCCAAAACTTTCTAGAAAATTACACAAATGAATGTTAAAGAGACGCTCGAAACTTTCATGTTGTAATTATGTATGATCACGTCTCTGCCTCACCATAAACACTTCTCGGCCATCATTATTTTCCTGGAAGGACCTCGAAATTCTACTGCACACGAATAGTGATCAAAATAATATAGTGACCTCTCTGTGTCCAGTCCGATCTAGATATTTGGCCTTGATGTCGGGCAACAGGCTTATCGTGTGTCTTAATGCCGTGCAACAGGCTTATGGTGTGTCTTGATGCCCTACAATTGACTTATTTTGTGTCTTGATGCCCTGCAACAGGCTTATGGTGTGTTTTGATGCTTTGCAACAGGTTTAAGGTGCGTCTTGATGCCCTACAACAGGCTTATGGTGTGTCTAGATGCCTTGCAACAGGCTTATTGTGTGCCTTGATGGCTTGCAACTGGCCCATGGTGTGCCTTGTTGGCGTACATCAGGCTTATGGAGTGCCTTGATCCGTGCAACATTGTTATGATGTGCCTTGATGCCCTGCAATATGCTTATGG